TTACAAAAGTCTTTATTGAATACACCCCCTTAAATTAGTCTCATTGATTTGTGAATTCTTAATCGAATATTTGGTATGATAGAATTGTAATTTCATTCTTATCAAATTTTACTAGTATTTCATATGCGCGATGTGTAAAAATATATGTCCAATATTAATACTTAATGTTAAAATCTTAGTTATATTATTTTTTTTTAAATAATTGTGTGTGCGTGTGTGTGTGCGCGTTTGTATATATATATATATATATATATATATATATATATATATATATATATATATATATATAATTGTAGAATTCATATTAATATTAATGAAGTAACAATTATAGAAATGATATATTACTAAATATAACTATGGTAACATTTAATTAAAATTTAAATAAAATTAAACTTACTATTGAAGAATGTATGAAAAGGATATTGTGTATGCATGTGCATGGTAATAATAATGTGAAAAAATATAACAGAAATTATGACGGCATGGATATTTTTATCCAAAAAATTATGTAGTACAACATTTATAGCATAAGGTACAAAAAAAGTTAATAGAAAATACAAACATAAAATCAGAACATAACCTGGATTGAAACTTATTATATTTTTAGATTTAGATTATAGAATTTTTATTCCATTATTTTGTTGGTTGGAATTGTAATTTTATGAAATTATAATTTTCTCCAATTATAGAATAGCAATTACTTGTAGAATTGAAATTTCACCGTAAATTACAACCTTTCCATTATTATTATTATTATTATTATAATTATTATTATTATTATTATTATTATTATTATTATTATTATTATTATTTTTTTTTTTTTTTTTTTTTTTTATTATTATTATTATTATTATTATTTTATTATTATTATTTTTTTTTTTTTATTATTATTATTATTATTATTATTATTATTATTATTATTATTATTATTATTATTATTATTTATTATTATTATTATTATTATTATTATTATTATTATTATTATTATTTATTATTATTATTATTATTATTATTATTAATTATTATTATTATTATTATTATTATTATTATATTATTATTATTATTATTATTATTATTATTATTATTATTATTATTATTATTATTATTATTATTATTATTTTATTATTATTATTATTATTATTATTATTATTATTATTATTATTATTATTATTATTATTATTATTATTATTATTATTATTATTATTATTATTATTATTATTATTATTATTATTATTATTATTATTATTATTATTATTATTATTATTATTATTTATTATTATTATTATTATTATTATTATTATTATTATTATTATTTTATTATTATTATTATTATTTTATTATTATTATTATTATTATTATTATTATTATTATTATTATTATTATTATTATTATTATTATTATTATTATTATTATTATTATTATTATTAATTATTATTATTATTATTATTATTATTATTATTATTATTATTATTATTATTATTATTATTATTATTATTATTATTATTATTATTATTATTATTATTATTATTATTATTATTATTATTATTATTATTATTATTATTATTATTATTATTATTATTATTATTATTATTATTATTTTATTATTATTATTATTATTATTATTATTATTTATTATTATTATTATTATTATTATTATTATTATTATTATTATTTATTATTATTAGTTATTATTATTATTATTATTATTATTATTATTATTATTATTATTATTATTATTATTATTATTATTATTATTATTATTATTATTATTATTATTATTATTATTATTATTATTATTATTATTATTATTTAAGGATAAGGACATTTTAGTTATTATAAACTTCTTCCCTTTCAATTTCTAATAATTCTATTAATATCTATTAAACAATGAAATTTGAATTCTACCTTATTCTTTTTTCTTTTTTTTTGAGAAAAATTCTACCTTATTCCTTTTTTATTAAATTACAATTTGTGTCTCTCCTTCAAAGCAAACACCCCATAAGTTATATGCATTATGCTTAGTTTGATTTTGTTTCCTCTTTATTTCATAGTTTAACAAATTAAAACTTGTCACATTAGAAATGACAAATTTGTGAGTGGTAAATATCGAGGTACTAAGAATGGTCCTATTATGATAGATTTATTAATGAAAAAGATTTTAAAGGTATGTTTAATTCACTTTTCTTAATTTTTCTCTTTTACAATTTTTTTTATTTTAAATTAGAAAATAGGTTTATTATCATATTACTTTACAAGTAAAAAGTTACAAAGATTTTTAAAATTAAATTAGTTTTTCATTTTAACATACAATAATATTGAGCAGTGCGCGTAAGAAAAAAGTTGTTTTAAAATTTGTTGTTAAGTTGAAAAATGAAAATTTATTTTTAATTTAAAAATATGATAAATATTGTTAGAAAATATGTTTTCTATTTACTAAATACACCCTTAAATTTTGATTTTTAAAAATAATTATAACTAATTTTTCAAAGTTATACTTTTGTACCAACATTTAAAATTTTAATACTAAATCACTAATTTTAAAATGTTTGATTAAAATTATTAGACATCGAAATATTTTAAATTTCTACATCAATAAAGTTTTATTATGCATGTTAGTTTATTATAATGAGGATCATAAGAGCAAGTTGAGGTAGGTGTGGCCGACTTTAGGATAAGGTTTATTATAAATATAAATAATTAGGATCAATTACTTTAGTATTTTAAAATACTAGTATTTGCACCCGTGCGATGCACGGAATGGATTTGTTGCAATATATTAAGAATATACGAATTGATATATAATTATTTAAATTAGAACATCAAATATTATATAGTGCAATTAAATATATGATTTGGATCGTTTATATATTTTGGTGTTATCATTGCTTGAATTTGTGTAAATAATTGCTCAAATTAATAGATAATGTCTAGATGTACGCATACGGTGCTATAACTTTGAAGATTTTATTTATCATTGTTTAGAATTTTCATAAATTAGGAAAATGTGCTCGTTCTCTAACAACTCAGTTATAGAAATGAATTGGTATCCTTATTCATTTGTATGGAAGATATATTTTTTTGTCTAGATATATAACAATTTTTTTATTAAAAAAAAACTTAATATCACCGATTATATTTACACATTATTGAAACCTCTTTGTAGACGACATTGGTAGTGATAACACAATCCTATTCATCTTCGTCTAGAGCTAACACCTTCAATCCATCAGGACGGATTACTTGGATTAAAATATATAATGGTAGAATATTATTCAATTAGTTATCCTTTTATATTTTCAATCAATTAGTGATATCAGATTCATTTTCAGCCAATTATTCTTTTTTATTTTCAGACAATTAATCAATTAGAATATCAAATGTAGTGATACTTTTACCTAATTTTCATTCCATTTTTAATTGATGATGTAGATATTATTATTGAAATATTTCCGTTTCATTTTTAATTTACCTTTACTATTATTTAAAATATGCATTTACTATTGATAATGTAGAATATTATTATTGAAATATTTTTTTTTTCAATTTTTAATTTCCATTCCATTTTTAATTAAAATGCAATGATATGATCATTTCTTTTTTTTTTTTAGTCAATTATGGAGCATTTTTTTTATTTGCAGTCAATTATTAATATTCATTTCCTTTTAAAATTTTCAGTCAATTAGTAATATTAGATTCATTTTCAGTCAATTATTTTTTTTTATTTTCAGTCAATTAGAATATAGATGTATTGATATTTTTTCCTAATTTCCGTCACATTTTAATTTGATGATGTAGAATATTATTAATGAAATATTTTCGTTCCATTTTTAATTTACATTTACTATTTTTAAAAATATGCATTTACTCCTTGATGATGTGAAATATTATTATTGAAATATTTTCTTTCTATTTTTAATATTCCTTTACTTCTAAACAAAAAGGAAACAAAAAAAAAAAACTTTGGACTTCTTACTACTTGCCCACATTGATGGCAAGCAATTATGTTTGTAAACATTTTCAAGAGCCCCCCTTTCCAAACATTTTCAATGTGAGATTAAAATGATCCAACATCATTCTTCTTATTTTTTTCTAATTTTAATTTTATTTTGTATATCGTTTTGTTTGGATGATGATGATGATGGTGATTATTTTATTATTATTATTATTATTATTATTATTATTATTATTATTATTATTATTATTAATTTTAACAAATTGACATTGAAAAATTCACCAAAATTTTAATAAATTCGTCATTTTAACAGTTTATCTTTAATCAAAACACCAAAAATATTATTTAATAACTTAGTAATTTGCTCTAAACTGCTAAAAAGTAAAACAATACATACATTTTGGGTTAATCTTTCCCAATCCACTAATAATAAATAAATAAATAAATAAATAAATAAATAATAATAATAATAAATAATGAATAAATAAATAAAAACTAAAATAAGAAGACAAAGCTAAGGTTTCTTAAATAAGAACCTTTTAACTTCTCAATACTTGCAACATTGATGGACAAACAATTATGTTTGTACCTCTTATATAGAGGAGCTCAAGAGCTTATCTTTTCAAACATTTTCAATGTGGGATCAAAATAATCCCATATCATTTACAAAGGGATGGGGGGAAAACTTGGCAAGGAGGATTTTACTTATATATATATATATATATATATATATATATATATATATATATATATATATATATATAAGCTGCCTTTCTAGTGCACACTACTCTTAATGTGTGAATTTGTGGAATAATGCGGTGCAATGATATTTGTGATCTAGTGGCTCATGTTCGCAGTGCACCGGCCATGCACTAATCCGCACAACAGGGTGGTCTGGGGCACTCATGTAAAAACACACCCTTTATGTTTTAAATGTAGAACGGTGCATGCTATTCGGGTTTCAGTGATCGAGAGTATCAGTCTGGTGTCTGCGGGCGGTTGCGGAATTTAAGAACTTCCGATGTGTGACGGTGCGGGAGTAGTGATGATGGGCGGAGAAAGCAGTTCTCACACCAGGGTGGGCTTCGAGAGTGTGCATCCCCAGTTCTGGAGACCGGTTGTTGACAGCGCAATAACGCCGGCTGTGGGGCGGCGGTTTACGTCTTTGGCCGAGGGCATCCAATTCTATACAGACTACGCTCGGGCGTGTGGGTTTGACGTTCGGCTTAACACCCTCAAACGGGACCGCGATGGCGAAATCGTGATGCGATACTTGGTTTGTAGTCGACAGGGAGTTAAGGGTGGTGGTACCCGCAAGCCGATACCGGAACACGGCAGTACCGGCGGGAAGCCTAAGCAGCGTAGGCGACGGGTATCTAACCGGGTCCAGTGCCGTGCAAAAATTTGCTTTAATAAGGAAGGCCCCGAGGAGTTTGAGATCGGTATCTTTGTAGAGGAGCACACCCACCGTATGTGCTCTGAGACGTCAAAGTATTTTATGCGAATGAACCAGAAGCTGGATGCGGCTCAGCAGTCGTTCGTGGCAAGTTGTGTTAAAGCGAACATTGGATCTTCCAAAAGTTTAAATTTATGTAGGGAGGTGACTGGGTCGTATGCAAATGTGGGTGCTACAGAAACCGAATTTCACAACTTTAAACGGGACTTACAGACATATGTGGCAGCGTACGACGGTGAGATGATTATAGAGAAGTTTAGATCGAAGCGCGAGGCATGCGAGAAATTTTATTCCGATCACTACCTTGACGGTGAAAACCGCCTAACGCGACTTTTTTGGGCTGACTCAATTGGTCGCAGCAATTTTCCCCTGTTCGGTGACGTGATCTCATTCGATGCAACGTATGGCACAAACAGGTACGATTACGAATGTTGTTGTTATAAAAATGAATGGTAGTGTAGTTGTATGTAGGTAGATATGTTGGTAAGGGGGAATTAAATGGAGGATTAAAAAGAACAATGTGGTGGTGCGTACATGTGTGTGTTGTGTTGCAGTAGGGGGGCTGCGTTGTGGTAGATTACTTCTGTATAACAATTGCTCCTAAATTGTGTGTGTTAAACCTCACTGACAGGGACAACAAAAAATAAGATAATAAAAATAGTACTGGAACACAACAAAATCCCTCAAGCTTATAAATTGGACTATATGGATTATAAAACGGATTATTTGCATTATGCAGGTTAATTAGTTTTCGTGGGGTGTGTTGTGTTGCAGTAGTGGGGCTGCGTTGTGGTAGATTACTTCTGCACAACAGTTGCTCCTAATCTGAGTGTGTTAAACCTCACTAACAGGGACAACAAAAAAATAAGATAATAAAAATAGTACTAGAACACAACAAAGTCCCTCAAGCTTAACATTCTGAATGGACTAGATGGATTAGAAAATGGATTATTTGCATTATGCAGGTTACTTAGTTCGCATTATTGGTGTGTGGTGTACCGTCCATGCGTTTGTGTAAGATTACAAGTTATTGTGATTAGTTATTGTCCATCGTGCAGTGCGTATTACAAATTGTTTACCTACGTCCTAATCCCAACTACTAAAATTGTTCATTTTGATACAGGTACAGTTTGGTGTTCGTACCTTTCACTGGGGTTGATAATCATAAACGGTGCATTACGTTTGCTGCTGGTTTGCTGATTAAGGAAGATGTTGAATCGTATGCGTGGCTGTTGGATAGATTTAAGGTTGCAATGGGCAAGAGCCCGACATGCGTTGTCACTGACCAAGACCCTGCTATGAAGGTTGCGGTTGCACAAGTTTGGTCGGAGTCTCGCCACCGTTTCTGTATGTGGCACATCATGACAAAGGTCAACGAAAAGATCGGTCCTGATTTGGTAAAGGACTAGGATTTCCGTAGCAGGCTGAATGGCATTGTTTGGAATGAGACTATCAGCCGCAACGCATTTGAGGTGCAATGGGGTATGTTAATGGAGGAGTACAACTTAGCTAGCCACCGGTGGTTCACCAAATTGTATTGTGAGCGGGAGTTTTGGATTCCAGCGTACTTCACAGACATCCCGATGAGTGGGTTGCTCCGCACTACGTCTCGATCTGAAGCAGAGAATGGCGTCTACGGGAAGTGCACCCGGCCACACTTTAGTCTGGTCGAGTTCTACATGCAGTACAAGACCGTTTTGGAAACTCAGCGTCTTAAGCAATCTAAACTGCACTCACAAAGTGAGGGGTACTTGCCTGATTTGAAAACGCCCTTAGCGTTGGAACGTTATTTGGCACGGGTATTCACAATAACGATTTTATATGATCTCCAAAAGGAGATTGAGGCTGCTTGTTTCTATTGCAAGGTGGTGGGTATTCGTGAGATTGAGGGTGTTATCAGTTACATCATTACCGGGGGTTGCACCACGCAATACACTGTGAACTATACCCCTATCGATGGCAATGCATCTTGTAGTTGTAAGATGTTTGAGAGGTTGGGGCTAGTTTGCCGGCATATGTTCTTGGTGTTTAGGGATGCCCAAATGGAGAGGTTGCAACCGGCGTGTGTGATGACACGCTGGTGTAAGGGAATTGGAGTTAGCGTTTGTTGTGGGCGGTGTGACGTCCATCCGTCCGAGACTGTTCCTAGCCAACTATGGAGTGAGATACACGCATGCGTCGGGTTAGCAGGGAATAATATAGCCCATCAGTCATGATTGGTGCAAGTTTTGAAGGACCTTAAAGCTGAGTTCCTGAGAACGGGAACTAGCGTTGGCCCTACAATGGGTAACGGTGCAGCCATTGCTGCTTTGTGTGGAGTCGAGCGTCCGACGTCCATAACCATCCTACCACCAGCTCAAGCTAAGAATAAAGGGACCGGGAAACGTATTAAAAGCCAAAGAGAGTTAGCAGTGGAGAGAAGTGCCAAAGCGGTGCGAAAGTGCGGGGTGTGCGGCGAGTACGCACACCATAACGCCCGTAGTTGCCCATACAAGTGAAATGCCCCACACAAATGTGGTTCGTGCCGAGGTTTGGTAAAATCATTTACTTCATTTGTTGTCACCGTTTTTTAATTTTATATTTCGGGGTTTCAAAGTATCTGTTTGTTTTTATATCCAGATGTCCTGGTGATGTGCTGGTCGAAGTGTTCACTACTTGGGGTGCACCTGCCTGATTCGCCACATCGTTTCCTTTGCACGGGCATTTGGTGAATAATTTGTGGACAGATATGGTGTTTGAACTGTGTTTTTAGAGGAGCCATGATGTTTGTCCGTGGAATTCGTTTCAGTTTTTTTGTTGGTTTTGGTTTTTTTTTTTTTAATGCATTTTTAGACCACTCCTTTAGTGCGTTAATAATTTGGTTGTTGGCATTGCTCATTGAATGTATTGAACATCTCGCACCGTGAATTAAATTGGCATCTATACAACATATGTAGACAGGAAAAAATATAGCACAGGTATGAGCTACTGTGGTAGAGAGCATTTATTAATTCTGTAGTGACATATAGAAAACTCCAGTGCACTTGTTTGGACCATTTTAGTGATAACCTCAACACCTAAATGAAGGGACAGGGAATAAGTAACAAGAGTATATAAATTATAGAAGACCATTGCTCTTATATAATGCACCTATTGCAAACCACGCGTTAGTGGGATCAAATTGACACATCAATCAAATGACAACTATGAGCCTTATGAGGGCTAAAATCGACACATCAATCAAATGTCAACTATGAGCGTTATGACGGACATACTCATAACGAGCTGCTATGGGGTGGTGGGAAATTGTTGCTATTACTAAACTAAAAGGAAATAAACTAAACTAGCAGTGGGTGACAAGTACATGTCAGACAGTTGCAAAATGGCGGTTTCACATCTCGGATCCAGGAATTTGTTGCGTTTATTTTCTGATTGTGTTATTAGTATCAATCAGGTCATCGACATTGGGAATACTTCCAATAAATTAGTTTGGCATCACACATTCATTGGCCTCACACATTGATTACTCCCATTACTGTGTTCATATGAGCAAGTAATAATTACACATCTATTTTAAAATCTCAACATAAGTGCATGTTGGCAACTTTCTTTTGTTTGGCGCATTGGAAATACTTTCAGTATATTAGATTTCTTCTCCCAAAAGTATATTAGATTTCTATTAATATATTGGTAGGATACGTATACATAGTAATGCACCACTGCACCTAGAAATATAATGTTAAGTATTCATCTCATATTCGTTTAACATAGCAGGAAACACCAAAGAGAGTATATGTCCCGCCTGTAGAGGATAGATTTAGTAACAGCAAACTGCATCGCACCGCCACCCGAAACAACGGGCTGCACCACCAACAAAAAGAGCCCAGTGTTGCACTGTTTATTATATGCTAAAAAGAGGTGCACCCCTATTTAGCACAGCAAGACTACACATCTACACATATTATGTTTGCGAAAAGGATAAGTTAACCGACTACTGCAATCGGTCACAATGAACTAGCCCCAACCTGAAACATCCCTGTACCCAAAATAAAGGTCCCAGTTTATTAACTATTGCTTTTCAGAGCTGCCCCCTAGGCAGTTGTTAGGCCAGTTGGCGCGTCGTTGATTGAAGCATCTGTGCAACCCTCACGCGGTCGTACTCCCCCACACGTGCGATAATATTTTGCACGTGGACATTTGCGGCGCTGAGGATGATGTTGTGTAGGAAACGCTTGCGAAGGTTGAGCATCAGCGGCGTGCCCCCTGCTTGTAACCCACAATACCAGGTGGTGGATTTCTGACCAACATATGACTCCATGTGCCTCATCGTATATACCGCTGACTCTACACCGGCAGTGGGTTCTCCCCATGCCACCATCATCCTTTTAGGTTGCATATCCCTCAGACGTAGTGCACGCACCGGCTGTTGTTTTCTCTCAAGATATGCAGCTAGGAGGTCCCTCTGTAATGCCGACCAACTTTAACTAGTAAGTGGATTAGAACTAATGGGTGTGACACATGGTTAGCCGCATGTGATACTCACCAATTCCCCCGGGATGCGTCCGTATATCTCTATGCTATCGCTGACAGCTGGAGCGCTGTCAATAATGTCAAAGGTCCCATGCTTGAAGCTGATGCTGATCATGAAGAACCGGCTGTTATGCATAATCGGGAAGATATACTGCAAGAACAAGTACAACATATTACACGGTAAACACATACAAACTTTAATATTGCAGGCAATTAGACAGCGTGTACGACTTGGTACTGTAGCAACTGCCATTCTTTTTTTTACATCAACCAACAAGATTCTAAATTACAAGGCAATATAGAAGATAGCAGCAGGAATTCTACTTGAAACTGAGAATATAGTACTGAAATGCACAACTATTTCCCATGGTATTGTTATTCAATGCAGCTTTGTGTTATTATTGAGCCTTATTCGTTGTGTTTTTTTTTTTTTTTTTTACTGAAATCTTGTTGGTATCACAGTACATTTTTTTTGTCCCACACTATTTTTTTTTTTGTTTTGTTTTGTTTTTTTTTTTTTTTTTTTTCTGAAATGTCGTCACTAACATAGCATTTGCACAGATATAACGAACAAAAAAGCAGTTGTAATTCTACTCGAAACTACTAATACAATCCTCCAATGCACAACTACTCCCCATGGTATTGCTGTTAAGTGTCGCTCTGTGTTTGTGCCTTATTCGTGGAGAGTTTTTTTTTTTTTTTTTTTTTTTTTTTTTTTTTTTTTTTTTACTGAAATCTTGTTAATATCACAATACCATTTTTTTTTTAATTCACACTGCACTTTTTTTTTTTAAAACCGAAATGTTGTAGGTAACACACTGCACTTTTGTGTTTTATTTTTCTTTTGTTTTTTTTTTTTTTTTTTTCAAACTCACACTGCACTGAAATGTTGTAACGTGTATGCACCCCAGATTAAAGGAACCTGAAAGTTTCTGGCAATTAAAAACAAAACGGTGAGCAAAGGTTACCATGTCGAGCGTGGCGATCCCCACATGGTCGGTAGCTTGCACCTCTATATCAAGTCTTCGTGTGAACCACGCTAGTCTATCATTCCGGCTGCAAGTAGCAGCGACCACCGTCCCAATCTGCATGCACACATTGTTATGGATTGCCAGGGAGCACGTAATTAGTGTATGCACTAACAAAGTAGCCCCGCAAGTGGTTTCTGTTTTTTTTTTTTTTTTTTTTTTTTTTTTTTTTGCAGTCCGTATTACTAACAGACTGACAGTGAGAGGAACCTGATTTTTAGATGCGTAAGTACTAACAGTAACACTAGGTATGCATTATAATCTTCCAATTAACCGCCTTTTAAAGTTATGATAAACCCAGAAGCTAAAAGTATGACTACCCTAATTTTAGTGCACAAGAAATAGAAAGGACAATGAAGACATAGGGGACTGCTAATGGTACGTAGAGCTACATACCGTAGTGGCTGGAGTTAAAAACATGCGTGAAGATACCCCGGGCTTCCTATAGTTTTCCCTCGTATTGAGTACAAAGCACTAGGCATCGACCATCACTTTAGAGATGTTTGACCCCTCCTTGAGTGTGGTGAAGTCCGCCCATCTCGCTTTTCGGGCCGCATGATGGAACAGCACTTCATTGCTAATAAAGCAACACATACAACGCGTGTTATATAGAGTTAATGCCCCCTCCCCCCTCATTTTCCAAGCTATGGTGTACGGTACTTACCGGTCGCCGTGCGGTGAGTCAAAAAGCCACTTCCAGACGACATAAATGGGTGGGAGGGGAGCCGAGGGGTACCCGTTTGCGGCGTTGAAAACCATACAAAACGGTTCGCTGTCATTCCCAAGTGGGCTCTTGCCTTTGTGGAGTGCTCCAGGCCTCTTGCCCAGTGGCACACACGGCGGTGGTGATTCCAGGATGAACCCCCCCTGCTGTGCAGGGCGGTGTACCTGCACGAGCTAATTAAATACCCCTGCATTACTGCCCTAGTGCACACACTGCGTGATGTCTAACCTGTTACCTGGGGAGTCAGCGTGGTAGCATCTGACGGGCCAGGCGTCCTACGCTCAAACCTCAATGATGCCAGCGTGCGCAACCCCCGCTGCGGCGTAATGGTCCCCCCGTCTACTGTCCCTGTAACGGTTAAGTGCACGCATCAGAAGATAACACATGTAAACCCTTAAGATAAGAAAAAACTAAAGTAAATCAGTAACCTGCATAAGTTGTGTGGTCGCATTTGACGGGCCAGCTGTCAACCCCTCCATCCCTGGACGCGTCTCCCTTACCTGCACCACCTGACATGGGGTAGTAAATCAATCACCCATTAAGATCGAAATGAAAGCTTAACTAGACTAGACCCCAGCACATATTACATTCAACGAGCCAGCCGGCATATCCTCCACCCTCTGTGATGCCAGCTCTTGTGTCATCCCTAGGCTAAAACTCGGTGGCTCAAACCCTTCTGGACTGGGCTCCCTGACTTGCACCCCCTGAAACAAACAATTGCATAAGACATGTAAGTTTTAACGCCCTACCCTCGTAGTGCACTGTTGATAAAATAAAACAAAAATATTTGCATCGGCACTAACTATAGGAAGCAGAATGAGTGGCGAGATAATCGGAAAACTAAATCACAAGAAAACTTCCATAATGGTATAGTAAGTCAATAGAATATAAATATAATAGCCAGCAGAATGAGTGGCGTTTAGGCCGTAACCTGTCGAGATTGCATGGTTCCATTTGCCTGGCCAACTGGCATATCCACCACCCGCTGTGTCGCTAGGTCCCGCGTGACGGCCTCCTCAACCCGATTGACCTCCCTGAATAACTGGGAGGAGTGCCAGAACGGGTCTTCAAGGTGCTCTGGAGGTAAGACTGGCGCGGTGGTCACTTCAGGGACCCGATTGGGTGCGACTTCAGCCGGGGCCGGTATAAAACCCGAGATCAAACTGGCGACCCCACCGAGGTGGTGGTGTACCTGCACGAGCTAATTAAAAAACCCTGCACGTGATGTCTAACCTGTTACCTGGGGAGTCAGCGTGGTAGCATCTGACGGGCCAGGCGTCTTACGCTCAAACCTCAATGATGCCAGCGTGCGCAACCCCGGCTGCGGCGTAATGGTCCCCCCGTCTACTGTCCCTGTAACGGTTAAGTGCACGCATCAGAAGATAACACATGTAAACCCTTAAGATAGGCAAAAACTAAAGTAAATCAGTAACCTGCATAAGTTGTGTGGTCGCATTTGACGGGCCAGCTGTCAACCCCTCCATCCCTGGACGCGTCTCCCTTACCTGCACCACCTGACATGGGGTAGTAAATCAATCACCCATTAAGATCGAAATGAAAGCTTAACTAGACTAGACCCCAGCACATATTACATTCAACGAGCCAGCCGGCATATCCTCTACCCTCTGCGATGCCAGCTCTTGTGTCATCCCTAGGCTAAAACTCGGTGGCTCAAATCCTTCCGGACTGGGCTCCCTGACTTGCACCCCCTGAAACAAACGATTGCATAAGACATATAAGTTTTAACGCCCTACCCCCGCAGTGCACTGTCGATAAAATAAAACAAAAATATTTGCATCGGCACTAACTATAGGAAGCAGAATGAGTGGCGAGATAATCGGAAAACTAAATCACAAGAAAACTTCCATAATGGTATCGTAAGTCAATAGAATATAAAAATAATAGCCAGCAGAATGAGTGGCGTTTAGGCCGTAACCTGTCGAGATTGCATGGTTCCATTTGCCTGGCCAACTGGCATACCCACCACCCGCTGTGTCGCTAGGTCCCGCGTGACGGCCTCCTCAAACCCGATTGACCTCCCTGAATAACTGGGAGGAGTGCCAGAACGGATCTTCATGGTGCTCTGGAGGTAAGACTGGCGCGGTGGTCACTTCAGGGACGCGATTGGGTGCGACTTCAGCCGGGGCCGGTATCAAACCCGAGATCAAACTGGCGACCCCACCGAGGTGGTGGTGTACTTGCACGAGCTAATTAAATACCCCTGCATGTGATGTCTAACCTGTTACCTGGGGAGTCAGCGTGGTAGCATCTGACGGGCCAGGCGTCCTGCGCTCAAACCTCAATGATGCCAACGTGCGCAACCCCCGCTGCGGCGTAATGGTCCCCCCCGTCTGCTGTCCCTGTAACGGTTACGTGCACGCATCAGAAGGTAACACATGTAAACCCTCAAGATAGGCAAAAACTAAAGTAAATCAGTAACCTGCATAAGGTTTGTGGTCGCATTTGACGGGCCAGCTGTCAACCCCTCCATCCCTGGACGCGTCTCCCTTACCTGCACCACCTGACATGGGGTAGTAAATCAATCACCCATTATGATCGAAATGAAAGCTTAACTAGACTAGACCCCAGCACATATTACATTCAACGGGCCAGCCGGCATATCCTCTACCCTCTGTGATGCCAGCTCTTGTGTCATCCCTAGGCTAAAACTCGGTGGCTCAAACCCTTCCGGACTGGGCTCCCTGACTTGCACCCCCTGAAACAAACGATTACATAAGACATGTAAGTTTTAACGCCCTACCCCCGCAGTGCAATGTTGATAAAATAAAACAAAAATATTTGCATCGGCACTAACTATAGGAAGCATAATGAGTGGCGAGATAATCGAAAAACTAAATCACAAGAATATAATGGTATCGTAAGTCAATAGAATATAAAAATAATAGCCAGCAGAATGAGTGGCGTTTAGGCCGTAACCTGTCGAGATTGCATGGTTCCATTTGCCTGGCCAACTGGCATACCCACCACCCGCTGTGTCGCTAGGTCCCGCGTGACGGCCTCCTCAACCCGATTGACCTCCCTGAATAACTGGGAGGAGTGCTAGAACGGGTCTTCATGGTGCTCTGGAGGTAAGACTGGCGCGGTGGTCACTTCAGGTGTAACACCCCAGATTTTCAAGATATTTAAAACTTATAAAATAAAGGTGAAATCTCATTAAATCCCAAAACAGAACACAAGAGTACGAGGTGCTATGCCACACCTGAGCTAGAAAACTCAGGTGCACAGGCTAACTAACTAATGTCTTAATAATGTAAATGCGTAAACATGGCACGCAGGCCGAAAGGGAAACTAACTACTTCTACGTTCCAAGTTCTAGCGCGCTCCAGTGACTTATTCTTCTGTGCCTGAAAGCCAAATATATCTGTTCAGCGAGAGATGCTGGTAACCCACTCCAACGCGTTGAAATACAATACATATAGATATATATAGATATACGAAAACCATTTTGAACATGAAGATATATCCTACGAACTCTAGCCTTTAAAACAGGGATAGACTCATCAGATAGGGCTAAGCACAGACAGCAGTTAAACCAACATGTATAGTTACAAACAGGCAAGGCAGGTAAAGATAAGCATAATTAATGATCATAACCCAACACATGCGATTCCCAGTATAAATCCCCTAGTCACATCCCCAAGATACTCATAACAACAACTCATCCGTATTTCATCACATAGCACACTTTGTTGGCGCCACAGGACCAATCGCATGCCCATACATGAGGGTCAGCGCATATAGCTCTGACACGGCCCCGCAGCACCCTGCCCCGTATCGCAACACGGAGGGGTCGATCGCAACCGACCGATGAACCGCAGCTCATCATAGTTTGATCGCAACCAAACAGTGGACCGCAGCCCAAGAGTATGTCATCTGACCGCAGCCAGGAAAGTATGAACCGCAGCTCATATAGAAACGTTTGATCGCAACCAAACGGTGGACCGCAGCCCAAGAGTGTAAATCTGACTGCAGCCAGCTTCTGAACCGCAGCTCAGGAATAACCAATCTGATCGCAACCGGATTGGGTATCATGCACACATAACACATAGCAAGCACATGCAACCCACATTATCACATTGGGAAGGGGGAGAAAACGTATAACAAAACCTATGCGTGATCCTTCACATACTAAGAATAATCCTAAGGGGTTCATACTTCTTTCACCTAGGTCAACGGGATACCAATTCAACTAGCATGCAATATATAAGACACATTCAACCTACGAACGGTACCCGAAATATTAAACTAGACATAGGCACGATAGACGGAGTCCGTTGAGACACCACGGGGGTCGGGGGAACATCAAACGGGGAAGCCAAAATCCCAAAGTGGGGTTCAAACCAGCGGGTAGCCGGTGGGTGAGGGATCACCCGCCGGCTGCCCGCAAATCCGGGCAGCGGGTGCCCGGGGGCAGCTGCCCGCCCGCCGGCGTTGCCCAAGAAGGCCGCGGGTAGGTGGCGGGTCCCCTACCCCCACCTACCCCCCACTGACTCTTTCATCACAAAAACGCCCCGGGAACCTTTGTGGAACCCGAAACCATGCTTAGACACTTTCCAACGCAATTGATGACGCACGTAGACAATTAACGGATCAAAATCAAGAAACATACGGCACATAACCTATCATGCTTTTCTAAACACAATCAACACCCAATCATGCGAATTCCCACCCCATATACCAAGAATGATATCATACGATACAACCTAGGGTTCTAATCACTTTTAAATCAACAAGGACACAATTCATCTTCTAATATCAAGATTCGGTAAGAATATTACATAAACATCAAGAACATCTTACAATTATCAAGAACATCATATAATCATCAAGAATGTCATATAATTATCAAGAACACCATAATTATCAAGAACCTCTCATCATCAAGATCACCCATGGAATCATCCCACCAATAATCAATAATAATATCACAATCATCAATACACAATAATATGGGGAAATCCTAAGAGGGGAATCATAGCTATGAAAATAGGTTTTGTTCAGACATGGGTTATCTCTTAGCCTTAATTAATTCCTTGGCTATGAAGGGTCTTTCTTTAAGCTTTCTTGCTTTCTTGATTTCTTCTAAGGGGATTCTTGGAGCTCTTTTGGGGTGGTGGGGCGTTATTCTCGTGGGGATTCTAGGTGCCTCCTTATGTTCCCTATTTATATACCTAAGAGTCTTACTTAGGCCTAATTACTATAGGTTTGCTAACTCTATTCCTTTTGGGACTAAGGATTGGGTTTAGGGATAAGGGCCCATGGATTATGGTGGGCCTCCCTAATTAATTGTTGTGATTTAATTCTTTCTCTTAGGTGATTAATTAAATGATTTAATTGGTTTTTAGGGATCGTAACACGGGGTGTTACACTCTCCCCCCTTACAAGGGGCTTCGTCCCCGAAGCCCGGCGCGTTTAATCCATTCTTTCACCCCTAGGCATTCCGCATCTTGGCCTCCCGGTTAGGAATGCGGCCCCACGTTTTGCCTTAGCTGGGGTGACTGGATTTCTGGTGGTGTTGTGATAGAAAGGTTTTGGGTCTACCTCGGTCTCCTGCTCCTGAGCTGGATGCCCCGCGGGTGCCCAAGGTGGCCTTAATCGCTGCCACCCTCTGATCTAGCGCGCGCGTCGTACGGATCAAGGTTGAGAACCCTTCCTCCATGATTTGGTTTTGTCGGTTAAGTTGCGCGAGTATGCGCTCATCGATCGAGCCCTCGTCTAGCTCCCTTGGGTTCCCTCTTGATCGTGGGTGCAACGATGGGTCAGGCTCGTCATCCTCCTCAGGGTTCTCATTTCCCTCTAGGATTCCGCAATCTTGCATTGCTCGTTTGAGCTTCTTGTTGGAGATGTCTAATTGGTCGACCAATTCCCTTCGTTCTTCCTCGGGTTTTTGGCAAATCTCTTCGAGGGTGAGGTACTGTCCTCCCTCGGTGTAGTAGATATCATTACGGCGTAGGTTCTGGGCATTAAAGACCATGCCATTTGCGGTCTTGACCTCGGTGTGGCTTAGGTCCACCCCCTTTTTCTCCATGATCCAACTTAGGATCATCCCGTAGGGTAGGCTAAGTCGGTTGCTTGATTTGCAAAACTCCATGTGTTTTAGAATGAGGGCCGGCAGGTTGAACTTGATTTTGTGTTTCAAGAAGTAGGCAAAGGTGCACTCTAAGCTCCCCACGTCCTTGCTTTTATTGTTTGTGGGCAAGAGGCTATCGGTTACAATCATAACCAATATCTTTTGTTCCGCCGATAGCCACTTTCTATTCGGTCGTGTGGCCGAGGTGAATCCTTCCTCTTTCCCGAGGAGGTACCCGAGGTAGTCCTTGTACCCCGTGTTTTGGGTATCAATCCACCCCTTTCGGTCATAGCTTGACACACCCGTGGTGGTCAATTTCAAAAGCTTGGCCAACCGGCCTTCGGAGAGTATAATTTCCTTGCCGCGGACCTTGGTGGTGATTTCTAGTTTATCACCCCGTTTGGTGGCTATAAGATGTTGATAGAATTCTTTCACCAATTCGGGGTACGTATCCCCTTTGATGGTGAGGTACGTATCCAAAAGCCCTTGGTGTTTAAGCATATCAACTAATCCCGGAGAAAATTGGTCGGGTTCAAGGGCTTTACCTCCGATTACGGTGTAATCGGCGTTGCTCCATTCCGGGGTACGGGTCCCGAGGGGTTTCTTTGGCATTGTGATGCTTCACTTGATGGTGACGTTTTTCCGGCGAGTTTTTTCGGCGACTTTCCGGCGGGGCTGCGGCGGGGCTCCGGTGTATTTTTCCGGCGGTCTTTGGCGGTGCGGCTCTGTTGCGAGGGAGGCAGCGGCGACTGGGCTCCGGTGTTGGCTTGGCGAGGTGGGGCGGTGGCTTTCGGTGGCGTCGGCAGTGGTGGCAGCGGGTGGAGCTCGGGCAGGTGGCGGGCGGCGCTGGCGTCGCGGGCGTCCTTCGGCAGCGAGGTCGGCGTGCGGTGGGGCGCCGTCTGGGTGGTCGATGGCGGCTCAGGCCATGGGCGGCGATCGAATGGGGCTGCTGGTTCGGTATTTTTGGGTGGCGGGGAGTTGTGTAGGAGAGGGAAGGGGAGAAGGTGAGGGAGAAGAAGAAGAAGAAGGGTTTTTGATTTGGGGATTTTGTGGGTTTTAGGGATTTGTAGGAGCTTTAACAAGGGAGTGTTCCCTTTACATTTCAAGAAACACCTTTAGTCTAGTGGTCAAGACCTTGGTCTTGTGAGTGGGAGGTCAAGGGTTCCATTCCCATTAGTAACACTAGGCCTTTCTTGATGGTGCGGTCCTTCTTTTTTTCCCTCTTTCGTCATCTAGTGATGGGAGGCTTGGCTTGTTATATAATTTTTGGTTTCGTCTTTATAAGCAGGATCGAATTTCGATCAAATCTTTTATTTATAATAATTCCAAAGTAATCGCTAAATAAGTAGTTTCACTATGAAGGTGATTACAAGGAATTGCTGGTTTATCCTAGACAGAATTCGTCTTCTTGATTTTCTCCCGCGGGGTTTGCGTGGTCCTCGTCTTCCGGGGTTAGGTCCCCCTCCTCGAGGTTGCTCTCTTTCCCGAGGTCGGCCTGAGTACGGCTCATGACGAATATTTTCCTGGGAGCGCCGTAGTTCCCTTGGTGGGTGGTGTCTCCGTGTTGACCTGTGGTGGTGGGGCGTGGCCTTTGGGGTTGAACGCACTGGAAGGCCTTGTGCCCTTCTTCTCCGCAGTTGAAGCATCGCCAGGGATTGCCCATGCAATCTTTTCCTCTATGGCTTTTGTTGCATTTTGGGCAAGGGAAGCTCCTTGGGTTTGCTTCATTGTTCCCTAGGGACGGTCTTTGGTTGGTCAGGTTGCTTGGTCTTGTGTTAGTGTCGTTCCTTGTTCTTTTTACCAGTGGTGCTCCCCCTCCGGTGTTCCTTTTTCGTATCTATTCCTGAACCCCGCGCTGGAGTAGTTGGATTCGATAGAGATTGGCGGCACTGGCGTAAGCCTCGTTGAGTGTCCGAGGTCTGCTTACCACTAGTGCTTTCCGGGCTTCGAAGTTGAGGCCCGAGACGAATCTTTCTATTTTGGTTACTTCGGTGGGGACTAGCTCTGGTGCGAAGCGCGCTAGTTCGAGGAATCGCCTGTGGTATTCCATGACGGTGGCTGTCCCTTGTTTTAGATGGAGGAACTCTTCGTACATGGATGCCTTTACGTGTGTTGGGTAGAATCGTTCCCGTAGTCGTGTTTTGAGGTTTTCCCAATTGAACCCTGGTTCTTGTTGGTAAGCGGGACCCTCGTGGATCCACCAAAGATCGGCCTCGTGTCCGAAGTAGAACGAGACTATCTCTACGCGGCGTTCTTCTGGGCATTCCACTAACCCGAGAATTTTGTCGAGGGTTCGGATCCATTCCTCCAGGATCACGGGGTCCTCTTCTCCTGAGAACGTGGGTGGTTGATGATTCGAAACTTGTCGGGCGACGTCTGAGTTCGTGTTTGATGGAGGAGGCGGGGGCCTGTTGTTGCGAAGGGCTACGTCGCTTAGTGCCTGGGCGACTTGCGTTAGTTGTTGTAGTGTTTGGGTCAGGGGGTCGTGTGTGGCGGGTTCTGGAGTCCTTGATTGTCTTCTGTTTGGTGTCATGCTGTCGCCTTTCTGAGTCAATGTTTATAAGGACATTAAATTAGAGTTTGGTGTCCTTCTTTGACGTGATAAGTGGAGGAAGGTTTTCTTTAGACAAGGAAGGAATGAAGTGAAGGGGTTTATGCGTAGGTTTCACAACCTCACCGCGCGTCCTAAAATTCCCGAGTCCTATGTTCCTAAATACCTAGAGTTCAAGCCTAATGTCCTAAAGTTCGGTTTTAAGAGTCTTATCCTAGGGTCAAACTTAGGCTCTGATACCAACTGTAACACCCCAGATTTTCAAGATATTTAAAACTTATAAAATAAAGGTGAAATCTCATTAAATCCCAAAACAGAATACAAGAGTACGGGGTGCTATGCCACACCTGAGCTAGAAAACTCAGGTGCACAGGCTAACTAACTAATGTCTCAATAATGTAAATGCGTAAACATGGCACGCAGGCCGAAAGGGAAACTAACTACTTCTACGTTCCAAGTTCTAGCGCGCTCCAGTGACTTATTCTTCTGTGCCTGAAAGCCAAATATATCTGTTCAGCGAGAGATGCTGGTAACCCACTCCAACACGTTGAAATACAATACATATAGATATATATAGATATACGAAAACCATTTTGAACATGAAGATATATCCTACGAACTCTAGCCTTTAAAACAGGGATAGACTCATCAGATAGGGCTAAGCACAGACAGCAGTTAAACCAACATGTATAGTTACAAACAGGCAAGGCAGGTAAAGATAAGCATAATTAATGATCATAACCCAACACATGCGATTCCCAGTATAAATCCCCTAGTCACATCCCCAAGATACTCATAACAACAACTCATCTGTATTTCATCACATAGCACACTTTGTTGGCGCCACAGGACCAATCGCATGCCCATACATGAGGGTCAGCGCATATAGCTCTGACACGGCCCCGCAGCACCCTACCCCGTATCGCAACACGGAGGGGTCGATCGCAACCGACCGATGAACCGCAGCTCATCATAGTTTGATCGCAACCAAACAGTGGACCGCAGCCCAAGAGTATGTCATCTGACAGCAGCCAGGAAAGTATGAACCGCAGCTCATGTAGAAACGTTCGATCGCAACCAAACGGTGGACCGCAGCCCAAGAGTGTAAATCTGACCGCAGCCAGCTTCTGAACCGCAGCTCAGGAATAACGAATCCGATCGCAACCGGATTGGGGTATCATGTACACATAACACATAGCAAGCACATGCAACCCACATTATCACATTGGAAAGGGGGAGAAAACGTATAACAAAACCTATGCGTGATCCTTCACATACTAAGAATAATCCTAAGGGGTTCATACTTCTTTCACCTAGGTCAACGGGATACCAATTCAACTAGCATGCAATATATAAGACACATTCAACCTACGAACGGTACCCGAAATATTAAACTAGACATAGGCACGATAGACGGAGTCCGTTGAGACACCACGGGGGTCGGGGGAACATCAAACGGGGAAGCCAAAATCCCAAAGTGGGGTTCAAACCAGCGGGTAGCCGGTGGGTGAGGGATCACCCGCCGGCTGCCCGCAAATCCGGGCAGCGGGTGCCCGGGGGCAGCTGCCCGCCCGCCGGCGTTGCCCAAGAAGGCCGCGGGTAGGTGGCGGGTCCCCTACCCCCACCTACCCCCCACTGACTCTTTCATCACAAAAACGCCCCGGGAACCTTTGTGGAACCCGAAACCATGCTTAAACACTTTCCAACGCAATTGATGACGCACGTAGACAATTTACGGATCAAAATCAAGAAACATACGGCACATAACCTATCATGCTTTTCTAAACACAATCAACACCCAATCATGCGAATTCCCACCCCATATACCAAGAATGATATCATACGATACAACCTAGGGTTCTAATCACTTTTAAATCAACAAGGACACAATTCATCTTCTAATATCAAGATTCGGTAAGAATATCACATAAACATCAAGAACATCTTACAATTATCAAGAACATCATATAATCATCAAGAATGTCATATAATTATCAAGAACACCATAATTATCAAGAACCTCTCATCATCAAGATCACCCATGGAATCATCCCACCAATCATCAATAATAATATCACAATCATCAAAACACAATAATATGGGGAAATCCTAAGAGGGGAATCATAGCTATGAAAATAGGTTTTGTTGAGACATGGGTTACCTCTTAGCCTTAATTAATTCCTTGGCTATGAAGGGTCTTTCTTTAAGCTTTCTTGCTTTCTTGATTTCTTCTAAGGGGATTCTTGGAGCTCTTTTGGGGTGGTGGGGCGTTATTCTCGTGGGGATTCTAGGTGCCTCCTTATGTTCCCTATTTATATACCTAAGAGTCTTACTTAGGCCTAATTACTATAGGTTTGCTAACTCTATTCCTTTTGGGACTAAGGATTGGGTTTAGGGATAAGGGCCCATGGACTATGGTAGGCCTCCCTAATTAATTGTTGTGATTTAATTCTTTCTCTTAGGTGATTAATTAAATGATTTAATTGGTTTTTAGGGATCGTAACACGGGGTGTTACATCAGGGACCCGATTGGGTGCGATTTCAGCCGGGGCGGGTATCAAACCCGAGATCAAACTGGCGACCCCACCGAGGTGGTGGTGTACCTGCACGAGCTAATTAAATACCCCTGCACGTGATGTCTGACCTGTTACCTGGGGAGACAGCGTGGTAGCATCTGACGGGCCAGGCGTCCTACGCTCAAACCTCAATGATGCCAGCGTGCGCAACCCCCGCTGCGGCGTAATGGTCCCCCTGTCTGCTGTCCCTGTAACGGTTAAGTGCACGCATCAGAAGATAACACATGTAAACCCTCAAGATAGGCAAAAACTAAAGTGAATCAGTAACCTGCATAAGTTGTATGGTCGCATTTGACTGGCCAGCTGTCAACCCCTCCATCCCTGGACGCGTCTCCCTTACTTGCACCACCTGACATGGGGTAGTAAATCAATCACCCATTAAGATCGAAATGAAAGCTTAACTAGACTAGACCCCAGCACATATTACATTCAACGAGCCAGCCGGCATATCCTCTACCCTCTGTGATGCCAGCTCTTGTGTCATCCCTAGGCTAAAACTCGGTGGCTCAAACCCTTCCGGACTGGGCTCCCTGACTTGCACCCCCTGAAACAAACGATTGCATAAGACATGTAAGTTTTAACGCCCTACCCCCGCAGTGCACTGTTGATAAAATAAAACAAAAATATTTTCATCGGCACTAACTATAGGAAACAGAATGAGTGGCGAGATAATCGGAAAACTAAATCACAAGAAAACTTCCAGAATGGTATCGTAAGTCAATAGAATATAAAAATAATAGCCAGCAGTATGAGTGGCGTTTAGGCCGTAACATGTCGAGATTGCATGGTTCCATTTGCCTGGCCAACTGGCATACCCACCACCCGCTGTGTCGCTAGGTCCCTCGTGACGGCCTCCTCAACCCGATTGACCTCCCTGAATAACTGGGAGGAGTGCCAGAACGGGTCTTCATGGTGCTCTGGAGGTAAGACTGGCGCGGTGGTCACTTCAGGGACCCGATTGGGTGCGACTTTAGCCGGGGCCGGTATCAAACCCGAGATCAAACTGGCGATCCCACCGAGGTGGTGGAAACACTGGTGTCCCTGGGCCTGTCTGGGGTCTTCGCGAACCTTATCTGCAACGCGTGAGGCTACTTTACGGAGGTCAGCAATCATGGAATCTAGTTCACAGCCAAACCCCTACAGGATGAACATGGCCCACCCACAGAAAAACCGCGGGGAACAAGTTAACTACGCCACCATCATGATGTCTTAGCACATTTAGCAAATCGCCGCATGAGTATTTATACCTTGTTTGCATCCGGAATGAGGTCATGGTGCACCGGGTGGTCCCCTGTAGCGCCACCGCTGCCCGTGGTATCCCCTTGAGGGCTTGGAACCGTTGGAGCACGGGACGCTGCGCTGACCTGCAACCACACGTAGAGGGTGTCTAAAAGATTTTGGCAGTTGTAGAATTTTAATTACCTAACACTAGAATATCATACTACAACTTCCAGCTCACACCTCCAATAAAAACTACTAGGAATGTCGCCTACAAATTTCATTTTTCCCAAAACTGTGCTAGTGTGAAAAAACCTAGGTTGGGTTCAGTAGTGCCCCAAAAATGTAACCGTACCATGCTAACACCTGGTGTGTGACCTTGTTGCACTGGTTGTGGTCTGCTATCAGCCCGGCCATACCGTGTCTGTTCCACGGAGCTACGACACCTGGGTTGCGAGGCTGATGTCGAAAACGGTTCCTCCAACTGCCCGTACCCGAACCCCCCCGCATCAACCTCCTGTTGCTCCCGTGCATCCAACGCCCTTTTAGGCCACCCGTGTGCGGCCGGGTTGGCCCTGGGTACATTCCGCTCACCGGCTTTGACCCTGTCAACATAAAACAGCTGCACAAATATGTTTGCACGCATTATAACCCCATAAAACAAGCACCAGCAAGTTTACGCATCTACTCGTACATCCAAGCAAATGCATAACTTACAGTCAGCCCGGCCATACCGTGTCTGTTCCACGGAGCTACGACACCTGGGTTGCGAGGCTGATGTCGAAAACGGTTCCTCCAACTGCCCGTACCCGAACCCCCCCGCATCAACCTCCTGTTGCTCCCGTGCATCCAACGACCTTTTAGGCCACCCGTGTGCGGCCGGGTTGGCCCTGGGTACATTCCGCTCACCGGCTTTGACCCTGTCAACATAAAACAGCTGCACAAATATGTTTGCACGCATTATAACCCCATAAAACAAGCACCAGCAAGTTTACGCATCTACTCGTACATCCAAGCAAATGCATAACTTACAGTCAAGAACAGCAACGGGCCCGGGAATTTCCTTGCGGTGGTTTGGGACCAGCTATCATGGGTATTTACCAGGGAGCTTAGAAGATAACCACACCAATCAAGATCCTTGATCATCCTCACATCCTTAAACATGTGTACGGTCTTCTGGTTGGCATAGTCGTTGAGTGTGCTCGCCACTACCACACAAAAATGGCGTTTGAACCACACCCCACCTTCTTTGAGACTTAACGCCAGCGTGGCCAGCGCGTGCACCATGATATTACCGTTACGCTTCTTAACCTTACACCGCCATGCAAGCAAGTCTGGACCAACCATATGGGTATCCCGTTCGGTCATCGTAACGGATCCATTCGGGAGGCCCAGCACAGCTGCCACGCCTTCCTCCGTGATGCGTAGGAACCTCCCGTCGCTCAACTTTATGGCCATTTGTGCAGGGTTGAAGTTGCTTACCAACCAATGGCCTAGACGCAAGGGTAAAGCATTAACCCGGAGGCCCAGCAACCCCCCATGCCAATAGAAATAACATCCTTCCTCTGCTTTGTCGATAATCCGGTGAGCAGCCGTACAAGCTCACTCGGCCTCCCCCGCGTCTCAATCTGGGGGAACGGGGACACGATATCATGCACCGGCTCCGTATCATCCAACTCCTCGGGGTCACGAGGGGGGTGGGGGCCTCGTCATCCACATCGGTCCCATCGTTACTTAAAACGATTGGTTGTCTAGCATCAGCCCCTGTACCACCACAGAATTTGGTTACTAGCAGCATGGAAATGAAAGGGAATTTATAGTAGCAGTAACTACCTTTTATGGCAGCATACATTTAGGACACTACCTGCCTGTATTTAAGAAGTTACCCTCTGTTAAATGACTAGGTATCATTACTGAAACTGCTTACAAGTTATTTAATTCATTCCCTACTACTTACGAGAATTTGAGAGCTGTGGAGTAGTCCCTCGGGCCAAAATTAGGACTGTGCACAATTAAATAGCTTTTAAAGACCTGATTAATTAATTGGCAGTTCTTTTGGAAACCAGTTGTTTAATGTAAGTGCACTGCATGTAATTCTGCACATGTAACCTTCCTCTGCATATACATATGCAATTAATACCATATATTTGAAGAATCCCTATCTAAAATGGAGATATCGAGTTTGAAATATCAAGTTTGAAATAGTCGGGGATCATTTGAGATGTTCACCAAATATATAATGTCAAGAAGGATTTGGACAGTATTTAACGATATGATTAATTAACTGGTATTTAAAACACAAACTAGATGTTTAATGAAAATGCAGTGCATGTAATGGGGTCACCAGTAGGCACTACACATGTAACCTTCCTCCGTATATACATATGTAATTAATAACATATATTCGGAGAATTCGTTTATAAAATGGTGTTACTGAGTTTGAAATAGTCGCGGATCATTTGAGATGATCACCAAATATGTAATGTCAAGAAGGATTAGGACAACATTTAACGATATGATTAATTAACTGGTATTTAAAACACAAACTAGATGTTTAATGAAAATGCAGTGCATGTAATGTGCCTCACGCCAACCTTAGTGATCAAGTGAACAATCAAACTAAAAAATAAATAAAAAAGTACTTAATGCTACCAGCAAATACTGTACACTAACAAAAAAAAATAACAAATGATGTGGCAACTAAGCTCAGTATATAACATATGCAATTAATACCATATATTTGAAGAATCCATATCTAAAATGGAGATATCGAGTTTGAAATAGTCGGGGATCATTTGAGATGTTCACCAAATATATAATGTCAAGAAGGATTTGGACAGCATTTAACGATATGATTAATTAACTGGTATTTAAAATACAAACTAGATGTTTAATGAAAATGCAGTGCATGTAATGGGGTCACCAGTAGGCACTACACATGTAACCTTCCTCCGTATATACATATGTAATTAATAACATATATTCGGAGAATTCGTTTATAAAATGGTGTTACTGAGTTTGAAATAGTCGCGGATCATTTGAGATGATCACCAAATATGTAATGTCAAGAAGGATTAGGACAACATTTAACGATATGATTAATTAACTGGTATTTAAAACACAAACTAGATGTTTAATGAAAATGCAGTGCATGTAATGTGCCTCTAGCCAACCTTAGTGATCAAGTGAACAATCAAACTAAAAAATAAATAAAAAAAAGTACTTAATGCTACCAGCAAATACTGTACACTAACAAAAAAAATTAACAAATGATGTGGCAACTAAGCTCAGTATATAACATAGAACATTAAAAATGCAAGCTTTCACATAAACTGGAGTTTTCATCTGTTTCAAAGACAGTAGCTACCTTTTAGATGGGAATACTCCTAATAAGGATGCAACCATAAATCAAGAATTAACCGTTTTCATTAGATTGTGGGAATGCAGACAGGTAGCACCCTACTGTAAAACATATTAATAGCATATATTAGAAGAATCCCACAACCAAATGAAGAAGGCAACTGTGATCAACTAAACTAATTCTTTGCCTAGTACTAATAAGCATTTGGTGGGCTATGCAGTAAGTGGGCTATGCAGTTGTGCCTCAAGCCAACCTTAGTGATCAAGTGAACAATCAAACTAAAAAATAAATAAATAAGTACTTAATGCTACGAGCAAATACTATACACTAACAAAAAAAATTAACAAATGATGTGGCAACTAAACTTAGTATATAACATAGAACATTAAAAATGCTAGCTTTCACATAAACTGGAGTTTGAATTTGTTAAAATCCCATTTTAGTCTTGAATGTACCATAGAAACCCCCACTGTCTGCTTACTTCTGATAACCCTAGGAGCTAAAACTACGCCCAGGCCCAGTTCAGTTCTCCCAGCCCTCAAAGAACTACCCTAATTAGAGTGCATCACCAGTAGTGCACACCGATTTTAACCCCCCCCCCCCCCCCCCCCAACCCGCCAATATGAGCAAAACCAGAGGTGCATAACAAGGGACTGTTCTAACCTGAATGATTAAGTTGGAGCGCCGCCTGACGCCGGGCTGCGACCCTAGCCGCTATGCCGGACGCAGACAGAACCCCGCTGTCGGACCGGCGTTTAAACGGCGGTGTCACCGGCGACACTGGCTGACCCGCCACCCTCCTCCTCGAACCCCGCGCGCCACTGAATCTAGCCATCACGAGCTTGTGAATGCACGGCGTTGCTTGTGATCTTTGATTACACCGGAGCGAACGTCTCTGGTGAGTAGACTAGTCCGATTAGTCAGCTGGTGAAACACCCCCCCCCCCCCCCCCCCCCGCCTTGGGAGTCAAAAAAAGACTCGGGAATGCACTCCAGTGCTTGGTTGAGATTACAAACACACCCATTCCACAAGTGAAGTGTTAATAATTAGGCGTGATCCGGTGCACCAGCCTAATGTGCACTCTCGCTGATGGCCGTGCATCATGCCACATGCATGGCTGCTAAAAGTGCACAAGTGCACATACTAAGAGGAATTTGCACCAGAACTTTCTCTCTCTCTCTCTCTCTCTCTCTCTATATATATATATATATATATATATATATATATATAGATAGATATATAGATATAGATATAGATGGTAAGAGGATTATTGCTCTCTCTTTTCAAACATTTTTAATGTGCGATAAAAATGATCCCAGATCATTTACAAAGGGAGCCCGTGATTCTTTTTTTTTTTTAATTTTAATTTTATTTTGTATATAGTTTTGTTTTGGACTATTATTATTGTTGTTGTTGTTGTTATTATTATTGTTGTTGTTGATATTATTATTATTGTTGTTGTTATTCTAATTTGATTATTTGACAAATTCGTCAAAATTTTAAGAAATCCGTCTGTTTAACATTTTATATTTAAACAAAAAACCAAAAATATTATTGAATAACTTAGCAATTTGCTCCAAACTGCTAAAAACTAAAACAACTCATATATGTTTTGGGTTAATCTTTCTTAAACCCCCTAATAAATTTAAAAAAAAAATTAAAAAAAAAAAACTAAAATAAGAAGCCATTAAGATAAGGTTTCTTAAATAAAAGCATTTTGACACGTTGGTCTTCAATAGGTTGAGAAAGTGTACATGTAACAGGGTCAATCGAATAGTTATGCTATGGAACTGTGTCCACCTTGCAAGGTGGACACAATTCCATGTTTATAATTACTGAACTATATGTTCATTATTATAAAGTTATATATTCATAATCTTTGAACTTCATATTCATAATTATTGAACTCTATATTTACAATTACAGAACTTTATGTTCATAATTACTAAACTATATGTTCAAAATTATGTTCACAACACTATGTTCATAATAGTAGAATTATATACTCATAATTATTAACAATTTTGGAACAGATCTTGCAAGATGGATGGATACGGTTCCACAACACAATTTACCGGGTCAATAGTACTAAAAAAAAATTAAGAGCCTTTGAACTTCTCATTTGTAAAAAGCCTTTGGACTTCTTAATACTTACCCACATTGATGGGCAAGCAATTGTATGGTTATATAGAGGAGATCAAGAGCTTCTCTTTCCAAACATTATCAATGTGGGATCAAAATGATCCCACATCATTTACTAAGGGGAGCCACCTTTGTCTTCTTCTTATTTTTTTTAATTTTAATTTTATTTTGTATATAGTTTTGTTTGGGTTATTATTATTATTATTATTATTATTATTATTATTATTATTATTGTTATTATTATTATTATAATTATTGTTTTTGTTGTTATTGTTATTATTCTAATTTTATTTTATACTTGAACAATAATATTTTTATTATACTTGAACAATAATATTATCAATTATA